CGATTAAGATATAATAAATAACTCTACTCAATATTAAGAAATAATAGAAAATGAAAAATTTTTTTAACATCTTTAAAATTGTTAAACATAATCCGTATATTTTATGTTTATTTAATGATATTTTTAAATTAATTTATTTATTATAAAAATAGAACTAATTTATTAAATATACTGAAACTGACATTTATCTCACAAATGAATATTAAATGTAAAGAAATAGAAATGATAGTATAAATTTGTAATGTGATTTTTATGAAAAAGATTATTAAGTATTTTTAATTTTATAAAATTAATAAATATAAATATTAAACAAATATATATAATAGTAAATACTTAATTATAATTATAATTAAAATTAAAATTAAAATAAATAAAATTTTATTTTATTTTAAAAATTTTTTTATATATAATGTTTATAGTATGAAAATTTTAATTAAAATAACCATTACGATTAAAATAATAATTTTTATGGATAATCCATCAATAACTTTTCATCTTTACATAATTTATGTAATAATAATAACAATAATGTTAATAAAAATAAAATAAAAAAAATAAAATAAAGTAATCATTAAAATAATAATAATATTTAAGAACCATTAGGTAATTATAATTATGCAATAAATAACAATAATGAAAAATATAAAATAAGCAAATAAAATTAATAAAACAAAAATAAATTTGAAAAAAAGAGCGAAAAAATAACTAAAAAAACATAAAAATAAAATATAGATAGAAAATCCAAATTAAAATAAAAATAAAAAATATATTTAATAATAATAATATTAATAATAATAATAATAATAATAATAATAATTATAATAATAAGGTATTTTTTTTTTTATAATTTTTTATATATTTTTTTATTTTTATTTATTTATTAAATATATTTATTAATAAATTATATTTATTTATATTTAATATTAATTTTTTTTTTTCTTATTACTATTATTATCTTATATTTTCTTATATTTACATATTTTTTCAATTTACAGATGAAAATAATACTTAAATTAATAGTTCTATTAAGAAAATTTTGAAAATCAATTACAATTAATAATTCAAAGAAAATAAATTTTTAAAAATAAGAAAATAAAGTATAAATGATAAAAGTTAATGTGAATAATTATTTGAAGCATTTAAATACTTAATATAAAATCTTCCGAATGCTTATTTACCTTTTCTACATAAGAAAATATCAGACAATTAAAAATTAGATTATATAAAGAAATAGCATACAATTTTAAACTAAAATGATTTAAACACAATTAACTAGATTTTACCAAATAATTATATTGAATAATTTGATATGGATATAGATTTAATTTATAAAAATGAATTCATTATGAATGGAATTAAATCTAACTTTTCTTCCGATAATTCTATTTAAATAGGTATTTTAACAAAAAAGGAAAGAAAAAGTAAAATATTAAAATACCAATTAAAAAGAGAAAAAAGGATGCAAAAAAAGTATATTAGAAAAAAAAAAAAAAAAATATTTTAAAAAATGAATTAATTTTAATATAATTATAGTAGTTTTAGTAAAAAAGTGTCATATGATGTAAGAAAAAGAGTTGCTGATAATAGATTGAGAGTAAAAGGGAGATTTGTAACAAAAGAATAGGCTCTGTTATTTATAGGAGATTCTAAAGCTGATGCAAGTAAATATACATAGAATTAATTAAAGGAGTTGTTGCTTTTGAGATTTTAAGGAAATAATGAAAATAAAAAATTCTCTTTAGATGAAGATACTGAATTAAATTTAATATAAAAAAATATTAACAAACCGTAAATAAAATATGCAAATATTTCTGATGAAGTAAAATAAATTTATTATTATAATTTTGTTATTTAAAATAAAATATAAAAAAATAATAAAAAGTTTGATAATTTATATTCTCATAATAATTATTCTGATAGTTTTATTTTAAATTGATTAGAAAATAAATAAAAAAATACTTCTTTATATTAAATCTTAAATTTTATATATATATATATGAAAAAAATGTCAAAAAATTATTATTAATTTTATAAATTTTTATATTAATAATATATATATATATATATATATATATATATATATATATATATTATTATTTATTAATTGAATTATAAATATTAATTAAAAAATTATAGATAATAATCAAAAACGATAAAATTTAAACTAAATATATAAATTTACATTTGACTATTATATATTAATTATAAATTAATTTAATGAATTATAATCATTTAGACACAGATGAAGTTGAGGCCTTATCATGCTGTTATATATTTCCAGGTGCTATTATACCAAGTTTATTTGGATATTATTTATTAATTTATTCAACAGATCCAGAATTTAATAATTAAAATGAATAAAATTGCTATTATTTAATATAATGGAGTTATTTTTCAGGATCAATTTTTTTAATTCATGCTTTTTTTTATATAATTATAGCTTTAATTGGGATGTTTGTTGAAGATGAATAGCATGATTAAATAGAAAAATATGCAATGATAGCAAAATTTGAAGATAATATATGGAGAACTTTTGTTCTAACATTTTCTTTATTAATAATTTTTTCTTCATACGGAATTTTAAACAAATAATATGGGAATAATTTTATGAAATGTGGAGAACTGTATTCCTTAGTAAATTTATATTAGTATATTTTTAATATAATATTAAAAAAATATTTTATTATTTGTATGTTTTTTTTTTTTATTTATTTAAAAAAAATATATATTTTACATATTTTTTAAAAAATTATTATTAAATAAAAAAAGACTGAAACTTATTATTATGTTTTCCTTGTTATTTTCGGTTGTTTTGCTATAACAGGTTTGCTAATTGCTTTTCAAATTGAAACTGTTATTTTTGACGAGGAAACATATTATAATTTAAGGTATATAAGTTAGTAATAATAAAACATGGTTTAAACTTCATAATAATATTTAGATTATTGATATTTTTATTTTTTATATAGAAATTTTTATATATATTGATATTTATTTTAAATAAAAAAATAATGGAAACTAATAATATAAAAATTTTAAATTTAAATTTGTATTTTTCAAAAACAAAATTTCTTTGGATTAGAGTAGAGTATAATTTTTATAATAATTCATTATAATTTAGAATATTTGATAATTTTATTTTTAATATAATTTTAATTTATTTTTACCAAAATAATTAATTTTAAACACACTTTAAATTTAAAAATATATTATTATCAAAAAAAAAAAAAAAAGACTAAATTATATAAAATGTTTTTTTCATAACTTATTTAAGACCCTTTTTCATAAATTATTGAAAATATAATGGCAGAAAAAAAACTTAAGGCACAAGAGTTTGATTTATCATAATTATAATTTTAAAATTAATAACATAATTTCAAAAATTTAAAACAAAATTAAAACTATTTTTTATTGTTTGTATAATAACTGTAAAATAATATTTAACTAATAAATGTTAATAAACCATAATCATAATATTATTATTCAATTTTATAAGGAGAAATTACTTAAAAAAGCTAATAGAGTTAAAAAAATAGTTAATAATATAAAAAAACTTTATAATCTTCATAAAGTAAAATATATAAAATATTTAAATTTTCATATCATAATAATATAAATATCGAAGAAATAGAAAAAAAAATCACATAATTCTAAGGTCTTAAGCTATTTTAAACGAATAAAGATTCTAGATATTCGTAAAATTTTCCCCAAAATAACTATATTTCATATATTGAAAACGTTAATAAGAAAACTACTAATTAATAAATAGAACCTCTTTTATTATGTTCATATAATCAAAACAATCATCATAAACTTAAAATTAATGCAAATATGAAAGAAAATTTTACTTTAAAACCTAATTAAAGTATATAAGAGTCAAAAGATTTTTCTATTTCTATAATAAATCCAAAAGGTATTATTGAAAATTAATATTAAAAATTAAATATAGATAATAATGAAAAACTTAAAGATATTTAAAAATAATAAAATTAAGAAAATTAATAAAAAAACACTCCGATTTAAGATAAATCACATATAAAATAAAATTAAGAAGATGGTTTTACAGCTAAGGTAAAAACGAAAATTGAAAAAAATGCAATTTTACTTGAAGTAGAATTCTAAAATACAAAAAAAGATTGAAATATATATTATTAAAATTATAATTTATTAAAAAAAAAATTATATATATTCTAAAAAATTGATTTTAATAAATTAAATAAATTAACAGTAATATATTAAGAATTTTAAATATAATAAAATATAATATAGCAAAATATATATATAAAAAATAATTTATAAAAAAAAAAATTTTAAGAAGAATTTTTTAAAAAAAACAAAATTTTATAAAAATAGTATAAATTATATATAGTATATAAAGTAAAATAAAATAATTAAAAATTTTTTATTTTATAAATAAAAATTAATTAAAATAAAATAAAAAAAAAAAAAAAAAAAAAAAAAAAT